GTGGTGGTTGTGGTATGAGCTTTCTCAAAACATATTTGGCTCAACTAAGTAGATCTCAGTCCATATTGTTTTGTAAAACAAACCTATCCATTGTAAACATTGAATAGTCAGAATTTGGGTTAAGTTGAACCCATGTTGCAATGGCACCTGGGACAGTTTTCCTCCATAGAGTAACCCAAATCCCAGTGATTGGGAGAGTTAAATGGTTCCCAAACCAAATCATAGTTTATTAACAAAACTACTTATCAGTACAGATAATACTACCTCAGATTTGTCCATGGTTTCATAATGTTAGTATTTCCTCTCATATTATTTCATGTATTTATCACAATAATCCCACATGGTTGAAAGAGTAGATATTCTTCACCTTATTTTATAAAATAGGAAACTTAGAAGTGAAGATACTCCTTTCCTAATATCATCACCTGAGTAGAGCTAGTATTCCACACATTTCATGGCACCTACTCTAGGATTACTAGTGGGGTTTCATCAGGTTTAGTAAAAACCAGAATATCTTTAAACAAAGAATATGTTAGCAACAACCTCAAAACCTGAGGACCACACAATAGTCAATTGGTTTTTTTTAAAAGTATATTTTATTAATTTTCCACAGAGAGGAAGGGAAAGGGATAGAGAGCCAGAAACATCAATGAAAGAGAAACATCGACCAGCTGCCTCCTGCACACCCCCCACCGGGGCCGCAACCAATGTACATGCCCCTAACCGGAATCGAACCTGGGACCCTTCAGTCCGCAGACCGTCGCTTTATCCACTGAGCCAAACCGGTTTCAGCTAGTCAATTGATTTTTGACAGAAGTACTAAGACACTTCAGTGAAGGAAGGAACAGACTTTTTAGTCTGCCTGAAAATAGTGCTTAGACTCCTGGATATTCATAAGTAAAAGAATAAAATTGGACCCTACTTTGCATCACATATAAAACTTAACTCAAAATGAATCATAGATCTAAATGTAAGAGATAAACTTTAAGAGAACAAGCATAATCTTCATGACCTTGGATTAGGTTTCTTATCTATGATACTAAAAGCACAAATGACAGCCCAGTTGGTGTGGCTCAATGGTTGAATGTCGACCCATGAACCAAGAGGGCACTGGTTCAATTCCCAGTCGGGGCACATGCCTGCGATGCAAGCTTGATCCGCAGTAAAGGGCATACAGGAAGCTGCTGATCTATGATGTTTCTCTCTTATTGATGTATCTAACTCTCTTTTCCTCTCCCTTCCTCTCTCTAAAAATCATTTAGAAAACATATTTTAAAAAGCACAGGTGACAATAGAAAAATAGGTAAGATGAACTTAATCAAGATAAAAACTTTTGTGCTTCAAAGGACATCAAGAAAAAATAAAAATAAAAAGTCAAACCACAGAATGGGAGAAAATATTTGCAAATCACATACTTAGTAAGGAACTTGATGAATATATGAATATATAAAGAAATCATATAATTCAATAATTAGAAGACAAATAACCCAATTATAGAGCAAAGGATCTGATAGTCATATTTCCAAATCAATGTACAAATGGCCAATAAACACATAAAAAGATACTCAACATTATTAACTATCAGGAAAATGCAAGTCAAAACCACAATGAGATACCGCTCCATACTCACTAGTATAAATTTAAAAAGACAATAGCAAGTGTTGACAAGGATATAGAGAAATTGGAAGCCTCATATATTCTTGTTGGAATATAATATGATGCAGCCACGTTGGAAAACAGTTTGGAAGTTTCTCAAGCTAAATATAGAGTTGACATGTGACCAGTATTCCCACTCCTATACTCAAGAAGAATATATACATACTAGAGGCCTGATGCATGAAATTCATTTAAGAGTAGGCCTTCCTTCCCCCAGCTGCAAGTTCTGTTTCTCACTTATACAATTTTCCTTCCCATTCTACCCTTCCTGCCCTCAATACTTAGAATGATTGTGGACACACTAGATCAGCGGTTGCCAACCTTTTGGACTTCACGGGCCACCAGTTGACAACTGCTGCACTAGATAGTATCTACTATGCTGTGCACTAGATAGCAGTTTCCCTCTGGCACTCAGGACCTGGGCTTCCCTCACAGCCCTGGCTTTGTCTGGAAGGACGTCTGGTCTAATTAGCATATTACACTTTTATTATAGATGTGCACAGAAAAATTTATACATGAATGTTCATAGCGATTGTATTTATAGTAACAACAAAAAAAGAAAAATCCCAAAATCCACATAATAAAGAATGGATAGCCAAAATATGGTATAGCCCTAAAATGGAATATTATTTGGCATCCTATATAATAAAGAGATAATATGCAAATTACCGTCACTTCAACACACAAGATGGCCACCTCCATGTGGACACAAGATGGCCTGCAAGGGAGGGAGGTGAGGGTGACCGGGCCTGCAGGGGAGGACAGTTAAGGACAACCAGGCCAGCAGGGAGGGCAGTTAGGGGTGACCAGGCCTGCAGGGGAGGGAAGTTAGGGGGAATTGGTCCAGCAAGGGACCAGTTAGGAGTTGTACAGGCTGGCAGGGGAGTGGTTAGGGGTTGATCAGGCTGGCAGGCAGAAGCTATTAGGGGCAATCAAGCAGGCAGGCGCACATTGGGAGCCAGCAGTCCTGGATTGTGAGAGGGATGTCCGACTGCCTGTTTAGGCCCAATCTTGGGCCTAAACAGGCAGTCGGACATCCTTCAAGGGGTACCAGATTGGAGAGGGTGCAGGCTGGGCTGAGGGACACACACATACACACACACACACACACACACACACGGGCCTCTAATAAAAAATGAAGAATTGGCACAAGCTACAACATAAAAGAATTTTGAAAACCTGATGCTAAGTGAATAAGCCAGACATAAAACATCATGTATTATTTTATTCCATTTACATGAAATGTCCAGAACAGGCAAATCCATAAAGAGATAAAATGTAGATTAATGGTTCTGTAAGCCTGAAGGGAGGTGGGTAGTGAGAATGTGGAGTTTTTGCTAATGGTTATGGGATTTCTTTTGGGAATGTTGAAAATGTTCTAAAACTCTATTGTGATGATGGTTGTACAACTCTGAATATATTAAAAACCACAAAACTATACACTTAATAAATCAATGAATTTTATGGTATGTGGAATATATGTCAATAAGGCTGTAAAAGAAAGTCAACGTCCTATCCTCCTCCCCCTGCCAAAAAATCCTTAGGACATAATTTTGTGTCTACACAATCCTAGAAAACTAATAAATCTAATACCTGCATATTGAGTGTTTGCAGTATATCATGATAGCTACTTACTTAATTGCATTTTATCTTGTCTCTTCTTGGAAGATTATTTTCACTATCCATTCATTCAACAGATAGTTTTTTTTTAATGCCTATTCTGTGCTAGATACGGCTCTGGGTGCTTGAGATAGATGCCTCATTTAATATAGATCCTTTCCCTTACAGAGCTTGCATCCTATCCTATTCGATTTACCTTGCTCAAATACAACTTGGTTCTCAGGGCTCATTTTTACTTTTCAAGTGTAGGGTGATACTTCCCCGAAATTCTTGGCTATAGTCAGTTATTAATTTGAGTTTGAGGTCAAAAGGGAAGACTAGAAATTTCTTTGAGAATAGGGGAGTTTGAAGAGAACATAAAATGATGACAGAATAAGTAAGGGAAATTGAGCACAATGATTAACTTTTTTGAAATACTAGCCTGAGTTCCACTTTCTGTACTTGTCCATCAGTGCATTTTTTCATTTTTTTTCTTTTGCTATTAATCATTCACAAGCATATCTATGTGCTAATCTGACATAGGACACGGTCTGGTGGTTTGCTGTGACCATCATCTTCTCAATAAGAAGACGTCTTGAGTAGTCTCTCTACTGTGTCTTATAATGATCAGGAATAAAAGTCAAGGAATCCTCGCCTCTGGAAACAGGACATGATTTCTGTGAACAGATACCAATGGATTTATATCCTGAACTCCTGACCCTACTTCCAGTTTATCTCATTCATAGAGAATGAAATTACTTCAGTTAAATAAAGTATCCCAAATCAAAAGGGCTTAATGGCTGGGCCAGGTCTCCTTCTGAGATATGCTAGAGTAATCAATGCTATTGCCATTCTTTGTAACACTGCAGCTTCTCCTGCACTGTGTTAAAATCATAAAGTGCACGCATGCTATCTCCATTTCCCACAGCTGTGGTTTCTTGGTCTCGGTGAATAAGCATTTTGGAATTGTCATGAAATGGAGGAAATAGCATGTGCGGAGTATTTCCCAAGCCCAGTTGCCAAGAATGAGCTAATCCTAACCCTCCCTGCATACAATGAGTCTTCAAAACTTCAAATACAAGCCATTCTACAAAGATCTACCTTTCCAGGGGAATGACATGCTTTCATTGTAGAAACTTGGTCTTTCAGAAGTGTAACAGAAGTTAAATTTAAAATTATGTCATAAGATTAATAAAATATTTAGCTATCCTGGTTTTTTTTTTTTTAAATGTATAGTGATTAAATACAAAGTTGATATCTGTGCTTAAGAGAAAAGTTAAATGAATGTGAATTAACCTTGCTACTTTGCTTTTGGGAAATTAGTCTAAAAGATATTGATAGTAATGTCTTCCATAAATTACTAATATTCATTTTTTTAAACTTACTTTTGGTTGACAGGCTAAAATTGTACTTTCATTCAAAATATAAAAGCAGGCATTGCAAATATATTTCAAGTGTCAATTTCTAACTAAGTGGTAGTAGCTATGTACATGTTGTGTTAAGAGATTTTGAGGCTGAGTCTGGTTTAGGAGAAAGACTGCTATCATTGGATAATAATTTTTTCCAGGAATGCAAGATGAGGAGTGAACATGTAAGTCCTTATGCTTGCCTTCCCTGCACATTAGAAGAGTTAAAATTTAAATATATTTTCAGCAATTCCCAAAAACACACTAGTCTCCATTAAAAAGAGCATTTACTTAAAAGCAAAGGCCAAATTAATGCTTGCCATTTTATCTGTCCTGTAGGTCAATGCATCACGTCAAGAAGCCAAATTGATGGAGGAGTGTGATCTTCTTATTGAGATCATTCAGCAAAGAAGACAAATTATTGGAACCAAGATCAAAGAAGGGAAGGTATGATTTTTAGGGCAGAAGATTTCATATTCAATATCTGGAGAAAATATACTTCCATGCACTTGAGTAGCTTAAGAAATATAGAATATCTCCTTGTTCTATATTTTCTATAATCTCCTTGTTAGTCTTTAAGACCTAGTTCAAGTCCCTCATTTGGTTATTTCTTTCTCCACCCCTTTCTTTGTTTTACCATAGTCTCTTGTGTACACCCAACTATAGGAGGCAGCATGAAGCTCTGATATTATAGCCCCTGTTTCCCACCTCTCTTCTCTATGAGAAGGTGAGTTCCATAGAGGAAAAGTTCATTTCATAATTATTGCTATGTCCTAGCAATGAACACAGTATTAAATAAATATTTAAATGAATCAGACTTTATACTAGTACATATATAAAAACTAGAAGTTCTTTCTCATGTCCTCGAGGAAATTTAGGTATGTATAACTTCATGATGGCAAAATACCCTTTGTGGATATGTTAGTAATACTTCTTTCTAATGTTTGTATATTTAGTGTTTTTGTGCTTTTTAATCTTTATTGCTTGCATATTTAAATTACGTATGGTTACATAGTAACCTATATTCAAAAAGCATTTTACACATTTGTATATATTATTTATCACCACTTTCTTATTTATTCAAAATTCATTTGGAAACTGTTGATATCTTTAAAATCATCACTTTTTTAAAAATTACTTATAGTATATTGAAATACTTATGATCCATTTTATTTTACCCATTTCTCTGTCACCCTCAAAAGACAATGTTGTAAATATTTAAGATAGAAACATTCATTCAAGATACAACAGATTCATGAATTTCTTTTATTATTGCTCATAATACTTTAATAAAATGTGTATAATTAAATCAGATTAGCAATTATTAAGTAGTACACAGAGATTATAATAGCCAATGTTATGTTCTGTTTTCTACAGAATTTTAAAGGTACTTCATATGTTTAGATTACTTTTCCTATATAGATTGAAAAATACCTATCCAAATACATTGTGATGGTGATCAGAAAAATTGAAGTCAAATCAAAGCAAATAGTTGCTGAAGCTGTTATAGGGAATTAACAAATTAACATGCAATTGTTCTCTGGCCAAAGACTGACTCAGATGTGTTGAGAAGCTACTTTTTCCCACATACAAATTGTACAACTTAGAAGAGCACTGAGCGTCGGGCCAGAATCCTTACAGGATACATTTCCTTTTCCATCATCATGCACCACATGTCTGTGTCTCTTAATACCTGACTTCTTCCAGGTTCTCAGTCACGTGACTCCTGAAATGCAGCTGTAATTAATTATTCATCTGCATATGGAAGGCAATTTGTTGCCTTTACCTAGTCGTGTGCAGGGACCAGCTCTCAATGCTCATATTCATTTCTTATTGCTGCTGTAACAGATTACCATAAACTTGATGGCTTAACACAACACAGATTTATTATCTGTTCTTCTAGAGATCAGAAGTTCAAAATCAGTCTCATTGGGCTCAAGTCAAGATTTTGGCAGTGCTTTTTCTTTCTGTAGGCTCTAGGGCAGAATCCATTTCTTGCTTTTCCTGCTTTGAGAGTCCATGCACATTCCTTGGCTCATGGCTTCTTCATCATATCATTCTGACCTTTGCTTCCATCCTCAAATCTTTCTCTGATGTTGACTCTCCTGGTTCTTTTATAAGGAACCTTATAATTCCATTGGAATCACCCAGATAATCCACTAATGTGATCAGAATATTGAGATTTGGTAAAGCTGGTACTGTGTTCAGGAAAGTTGATCATATTACTTTTTAAACTGAAAGTTACCACTTTTTAAAAAAGTGCATATTTGCTCATGGACATTATCTCAGAAGGAAATATTAGAAAGCAAATGTTACCTGAAAGAGATCAGTGCCTGCTTCAGCTTTCTCTTGAGTTACTTGGCACATGACCAAGGACTAGTTGATCCCAAACCCCAGAATTCCCAGTGACTGAATCCCTGGCCAGGGCATATGGTGTCAGTTATGTTTTAAAGAAAAGAGCACGGGCTCCAACACCCTAGAACTCTGAGGTGCTGGGCAGAGAGGGTGAGCATGGATTTGGTGCCTAGTGAGGACACCCAGGTGGTGGCTGGACAGTCTGAGGACACTGAATCTTTTTATTTTTTTATTTTTTTATTTTGACCTATGTGTACCCCTTCTATGATTTTCGTAACGCTGAATACCCCTCATACTCATGAGAACGTAGAATTAGGTGCAGCTAAGCATGGTGCAGTGCATATCCCCACCAAACTCCGGTGCAATGCGTACCCCCACCAAACTCTTCCCGTACCCCTGGGGGTATGCATACCACACTTTGGGAAACACTGGATTATGGTATTACATAATTGTCCTCATCCCCTCATTCCCATACCAAATCCCTCCCTACATATGTCCTCACCCCCACCCCCTTGTCCATGGCCACTGGCTAGGCCCATATGCATGCACACAAGTCCTTTGGTTGATCTCTTCCCCGTACCCTCACCCTCTCCTACTTTCCCTCTGATGAGAACACTGAATCTAGAGAAGGGACAATGGGGCCCTCTGACCAGCACTTGGAATTGGGTAGCCGGAGGTAGAACGGGCGGAATCGTGGAGACCATCGAGGTGAATTTCGTCTCCTTTGTGAGTGCCTCCGTCATCTCTGGTGCCAATCCCAAAGCCATTAGACCTGCTGGGAACAAGCGCGCCACAAATCCTCGCACTGGAGAGGTTGCCAAGCTGGCGATGTCGTTGCCCATTAGTACATACTGATCATTCCTGCTCTTAGAACATTGTGCATTCTTTGAAATAAATAGCTCAATGGCCTTTATACTTAGATGAGCTGTATGAGTCTTGAGCCGTGAGGCACCCTGGGAAAGAATTGTCTTATTTCTTCAGTAGTAAGGGATACATTTCATATCAACACATGAAAAGCTGATGGAAAATTCCAGATTAAGCAGAATATGCATTTTATGTTTATACACTGATCTAAGATAGAAGGTTGTGACTAAAGAGCAAAAGGCACCAAAACCTGTTTGGCTCAATGGATAGAGCATCGGCTTAGGGACTGAAGGGTCCCGGGTTCGATTCCGGTCAAGGGCATGTACCTTGGTTGTGGGCATATCCACAGTAGGGGGTGTGCAAGAGGCAGCTGATTGATGACTCTCTCTCATCTATGTTTCTAACTCTGTATCTCTCTCCCTTCCTCTCTATAAAAAATCAATAAAATATATTTTAAAAAATAAAGAGCAAAAGAGTCCTTCTCTTCACTGCGTTTATGTACTCTAAATCTCCAAAATATAAGATGATTAACTTGGACTGAATGCTCAGGCATTTCTGAAGCCTTACAGAAATGCTGTTTATGGACTTCATTGTCCACTCAAATACTTGTGTCAATTGAGAATCAATTATTTGGCCATAGCAATATTGGAATAGGAATCCTACACACACATATAAGCATTTAAAATACATTTAAAAAAATAAAGGATTACTTTTAAAAGCATATTTAAGGTAATAATAAACAACCAATAAAATGACATAAATAGGTCTATGCCCCACTAACAGGACATTACAACAGAGTATTTCCATGATGAGTATGGAATGAATTCCAAAAATTTCACTGTGGCAGTCACACTGCCCCAAGGACAAAAGAACAGTGCCAACTCGGAAAAGTTTTCTCTGCAGCAGTGATACATACATACAGAGAATCTTATGTATCTGCATCTAGTTATTTTTTTAAAAAAAATTTCACCCTGGCCAGGGTGGCTCAGTTGGTTGGTGTCATCCCATGCACCAAAAGGTTGCCGGTTCAATTCCCGGTCAGGGCACATGCCTGGGTTACAGGTTCAATCCCCAATAGAGGACATGTAGGAGGCAGCTGATCAATATTTCTCTCTCACATCAATGTCTCTCTCTCCCTCTTCTTTCTTCTCTCTCTAAAATCCAATAATTTTTTTTTTTTTTTTTTTTTACAAAATCACATTTCATTTTGTCAGGTTTTTCAAATAATACATTAAAAAGTGTTTTATAATGAAGAAATTTGTAATTTGCTAAATGCTCAGTGTCTGATTCTGAAGTGCTGTACCATGTAGGATAGGGTTTCACAGAGTGTGGTGCAAATCATTGCCTCTTACCAGAATCATTTAAGTCGGCAAACTTTTTTGGTAAAGGTTCAAGTCAGATTATAACTATTTTAGGCTTTGCCATATGGTCTCTGTTGCAACAGATCACCTCTGCCCAAAGTTGTAGTGTGAAGTCAGCCATAGATGATTCAGAAATGAACGAATGTGGCAGTGTGCCAATAAAAGTGTATTTATACAAATAGGGTTCTTGCTGGATATGCCCCACAGACCATAGTTTGTGAATACCGAACTTAGAGCAATGGTTTTCTCTTTCCTTTTTGTAAATGAAACCTACAGTAAGGAATACATATGACATCAAATTCAGCACAGACACGCTATAACAAAAAAGGTTTTCTAAAACATAACTTTCCCTTTCTACCAGAAATGCACTCTGTTACTTTTTTTCTCCTCCCCTCTCCTCTTCTATTTAGTTTTTTAAAAATGCTAGTCCTGAGCATACTAATGATAAATCACCTACAGTTCCAAAAGCATTCATTGCTTGTTAAAATGCTGATTCCTGCTGCTCTGCCAATTACAGCTCCTTACCTAGGATATTGGAGAGTGACTGCAAACAACTCATTTTTCCTTTAAAGAAATTCCCCAGCTGACTCTTGTGCACACTGGGTTTGAGAAGTTCCAATCTGGTCTATTGGATGGGATTGTATCCTGAACTAAAATTAAAATTATGCCAACAGCCGAAACCGGTTTGGCTCAGTGGTAGAGTGTTGGTCTGCGGACTGAAAGGTCCCAGGTTCGATTCCGGTCAAGGGCATGTACATTGGTTGCGGGCACATCCCCGGTAGGGGGTGTGCAAGAGGCAGCTGGTCGATGTTTCTCTCTCATCGATGTTTCTAATTCTCTCTCTCTCTCCCTTCCTCTCTGTAAAAAATCAATAAAATATATATTTTTTAAAAATTATGCCAACAATTGTTTTCTGTAAAACATTCCCATATTTTCAAAGGAGGCTCTCATTTTGGCTTGCTTCAACTTATGCATGACTTAAGGCTTCTTTTCTTTTCTACTTATGTCACTTTTAATTTCCGGTATCTCACTGGAGAAAAGAAAGAAGAAAATGGAGTTCAAGCATTGTTACAAGTGTGAACTGTGTGGTCACTAATAGGCATGCCAAAAGGACAAGTGATTGACATGAAGTTATTCTAAGGGAATATTTTGACTTTGTTCTTCTTTTGTTAGAATCGTATTAAACATCTTCAATTCTGCCATATAATTGAAAGCATTCTTTTTTTCTTTTTTAAAAAAAATATATTTTATTGATTTTTTTTACAGAGAGGAAGAGAGAGGGATAGAGAGTTAGAAACATCGATGAGAGAAAATCATTGATCAGCTGCCTCTTGCACACCCCCCACCAGGGATGTGCCAGCAACCAAGGTACACGCCCTTGACCGGAATCGAACCTGGGTCCTTTCAGTCCGCAGGCCGATGCTCTATCCATTGAGACACACCGGTTTCGGCGAAAGCATTCTTTATGTTGTATAATTAAATATTCCATGTGTTTGCTTTATTCTAGGGACTTGAAGTCATTTTTCCTTCCTCTGCCATTTTCTTATGGACATGTTCTCATATCTTGAACTGGACTCTGCCTTGCTTAGCTTTACCTCTGTAAAAGCTTGGTTCTCCTTAGTGTAAAATAAGTGTTCTTGCATTCAACTAATGAACACAGTTAATCTACTGCAGGTGGCCAGTGTAATTATAATGAGTGCGGTCTTTGACCAGGTTTAAGATCACATATTGTTTGGCCCAAAGTTTTGACACTTCTTTCTTTAAATCTTTACTTTCAAGAACTTTTCTCACCCTGGCCTGAAATCATATGGCTTCTGCCTCTCGATTCAGCACTCATTTCCTCTGTTTTCTGTAGGATGACAGAGCTGGACTTGGACGTTCCTCTGAGGCCTCCAGCTCTGACATCTCCTTCCTTCCTTTTCTCCGATTAGACTTGCATGGGGATGATAATGATGACTTGGAGAAAGAAGGAATTTCTTGGAGTGAGCAGGAATCCTGGAGGGAGCCTGAGCCAGCCTTGTCTGGAAGACAGATGAACTGGGCTCCTCCCTACCCTTTCACCCAGGGCTGTTTTCCATTCCGGAATGATCAGAAAGCCGGCCAAGACCTGTCCCAGGCCTGGTGGATGGGGGCACTAGGCACATGGCAATTCCAATTAGCGGGCTAATTTTATCTTGGCTTCTGGCCAGGGGGCTTCATCTCGCGGCGCATTTCAAACGCCAGAGCCAATGGTCAAGTGGGGTACCGTGGTCTTATCTTGGCCTGCCCCAGAGGTTACAGTCAATTACGTTTGAGGGTCCTTTTCAAGCAAGATGGAATCAGGGGCTGGAATGAAAGCTGGAACCAAGCATGCATTTTTATCCCGACTGGGAAATGCTTATCAAAATAGTTCTTAGTTATCAAGTAAGCACAAAGTGCCTGGAAATGACGTTCCCACCGAGGGGAAATGGCCCAGCTGTGCTGTTTTTGGCTTTCTCTCATCTGCTCAACAGGAAAAATATTAATCAATGGAAAAAATGCTCACTTTCTGTTAATTTAACACGTGAATTTTAGATAGTGTAGGGAACTAGGAATACTGAATGTTTTTATATCACAGTTTTCTAACATAGATTACAAAGAACTTCTTACAAAACGGCTTTTCCTTAAGTCACGCGTTTGTGCCTACAGAGATGTTTTATTTTCTTGATGGCAAAGCTGAAAACTAAGACACAGTTCCACCATTCTCTGTGATCTTACAGTGATTGTGTGTAGCAGTCAAGGGAAGAGGCCCGGTGACCCTCTGTAACTTACCACTGAGCAACACCGTTCCCCCCCATCAACGGGGAAGCAATTCGCAATTCAGTGTTTGTTCATAAAACAAACTAGCAACACTTCTCCAAGGAGATAAAAAATATCTAAGAGTAGAGTCCCATGCCAGATTGCCATACTTCCCTGAGCCCACTTTTTGAACTTGTATTGAAGGCTGACTTTCATACAACAAAATCCCTGCATGAAAAGGGTGCAACCTGATGCACTCTCACTACACGAGGACACGCATGTAACACTCTCCATGCTTCTGTTCAAGGTGATGAGGCTTCGCAAGCTGGCCCAGCAGATTGCAAACTGTAAGCAGTGCATTGAGCGGTCGGCATCCCTCATCTCCCAAGCGGAACACTCCCTGAAGGAGAATGATCATGCGCGCTTCCTGCAGACTGCTAAGAACATCACTGAGAGGTGAGTGCGGGGGCTGCTGGGAAGCTAGCTGCTGAGTTTCTGTGTCTCCAGGGTGATTGGTTGGCCTTGCTTTTGTTTCATTTTCAAGGCTGAGTACGAACAGAATAGACGCTTTGAGTTGCTTTGTTCGCACTGAAGATGCTTCCCTTTGACATGTCAGGGCTTTTCAGTGGCAGCCTGGAGTTCAGGGCCTTTGAAACAAGAGCCCATCAGTTAGAAAGAATCAAATCTGCCTGCTTTTGGAGGTGGGGACTTACGATGGCACAAAAACCGCACGCACTGTGATTCTCAGACCTGATCTTATCATGCACTTGATAGTAAAGCATCAGGAAAGAGGCCAAAACATAAAAGGGAATCTTTTCTTCCATTTCAAGGCTCATGTACTGGAGAAAATGGGCCAGGTGCTGTTCTCTGTTCAGCCTGTTTGTTTGGTTGAGAAGTTTTACCTCCTGAAAAAGTCAAGGCCAACTCACAAGGGAGAGAAAGGACCAAACTGTCAGTCTCATCTCATACCTTCCACTTCTAAAATGCACTCTATTCCAGGATAGGAAACATAAAAGTGATGTCATGCGAATGTTTAGTTGGGCAGTACATCTGGCTTGGTCAGTGCTCCACTGTGCATGAACTGGATCAGCATAAACATCACTGACCTTCACTGAGGCCCACACCTATAGTAATCCCAGGGGAGCCAAAGAAAAGCACCTAACACCACCTTAGTGACATCACCATAATCGATGCAGATGGCCTTGACTTTTCATTCTAATTCTCACACTCAACTGCCCCTTATACAAAACAATCAAATCCTGTTGTTAGAAGACGCCAAACAGCTCCTTCATGCTGGTCTTTCTCCCCGAACAGGAGTCTGCAAACTTTTTCTCTAAAGAACCAGAGAGTCAATACTTTCACTATGCTGATTAAAAAGGTCTCAGCCACAACTATTTAATTCTGCCTCTGTAGCTCTACAACAGCCTATCTAGGTAATATGGACATGAATGGACATGGCTGTGTTCCAGTAAACCAGTAAACTTCTACCTAACATGGTCGTTGGAGAGATACAATGAAATAATCAATGTAGGCCATCTCCTGTCACAAGATGTCCACGGAACAAATGCTCATTCTCTTCCTTCCCAGTCACTCTGTGAGTGGATTGTGTCACATACCATATTCTCAAGCTACACTAATATATAGATCTTTGGTATGATTTTATAAGTATCATTATAAAATTACATTAAATAAGCAAAATTCCTCACTAAATCTAAGCAAAAAAAAAGTTGATCTACTGCTTATAAGAAATCTGAAATTAGCCGAAACAGGTTTGGGTCAGTGGATAGAGCGTCGGCCTGCGGACTGAAAGGTCCCAGGTTCGATTCTGGACAAGGGCATGTACATTGGTTGTGGGCACATCCCAGGTGGGGGGTGTGCAGGAGGCAACTGGTCGATATCTCTCTCTCATTGATGTTTCTAGCTCTCTAGCTCTCTCCCTTCCTCTCTGTGAAAAATCAATATATATATATATATATATATATATATATATATATATATACTTTTTTTTTAAGGGAATCTGAAATTAAAACTACTCTTCATCTGGCCGGAGTGTCTCAGCTGGTTGAGCATCATCCTGTGCACCAAAAGGTTGCTTCCATTCCCAGTCAGGGTACATACCTGGGTTTTGAGTTCAATCCCCACCCCACCCCATCTATCTCATTCTCTCTCTCTCCCTCTCTAAGCCTATCCTCGGGTGAGGATTCAAAATAAATAAACAAATAGCCACTCTTAGTAGTAAATTCTCTGTATCAAGAGCATGATAAAGAGGAAGTTCCCTCTGAATAGTATCCATTTTTTCAGATTTCTTAAGAGTGTCCCTCACCAGCACAGGCAGTTCCAAGATCCATCAGACTTTCCCAGAATACAAAGCCAAGAACTCCAGTTGTCAGCTCTGGGAAGATGTACTTGATTATAAGAATTAAAGCACATCTGATGAATGGGCTTTTTTTGTTTTGTTTTGTTTTTGTTTTTTTAAATCCTCACCCGAGAATATTTTTCCACTGATTTTTAGGAAGAATGGAAGAGAAAGGGAAATACAGAGAGAAACATCAATGTGAGAGAGGCATATCAATTGGTTGCCTTCTGCACATTCCCTGACCAGGGACCAGGCCAGGGAGGAGCCTACAGCCAAGGTATGTGCCCTTGACCGGAATCGAACCTGAGACCCTTTGGTCCGCAGGCTGACGCTCTATCCACTGAGCCAAACTGCCCAGGGCTGATGAATGGATTTTGAAGTGTGTTCTGCAGGGTGTTAATTGGCATTAAAACAACACCACGGTCAAGGCGCCAAATGCATTTGGGAAATCCTGAGCGGACCAAAGTAGGCCATGTTTGGTTTCTCTGAGACCTCATCAGGTCCTACCAGGGTAATGTGCACTGTGGACTGCCCACCTGAGAGAGGCACAGTTAAGCGCCACTGGCAGGGGTTGGGCACGGAGGTGGGGATATTAGGCAGGAAGGGTAGAGTATCTTCCCCTGGCACTGGCTGTTTGGCAGAAACCTGTGAGCAGTGTAGCTCTAGACATACCCACCGTCTGGAAAAGTAGCCTCATGTGGCTGCTAGCAACTGAGTGTCGGAGATTTGGGGCATCAGAATAGACAGAAACAGGGAGTAATGTGCAGCCCCCCTATTAAACATCAAGCTGTGACACAATGCTCTCATTTGCCTCGATATGTTAAAAGCTTAATGCACATACACACAAGCATGCACACACATGTGCACTCACGTACGTGCGTGCATGTGCGCGCGCGCACACACACACACACACACACACACACAGTCATGAGGGTAAAGGGAGGAATTGAGAAAGTGGCATACACTGATGGCTCAGGTGGATTTTGGCAACTTATCTGAAAGGCCAGAAGATGGGCAACAAGGATTTGGAGAATAAAAACACAGCCTAAAATGTTGAATTTGGCAGATCTCCCCTTGGCTGTCACTCCAATTAAGAATTTGAAATTGTAGCCAAAGATAAATATCTTTCCTTCCACACAAAAAATGTGTTGGTGTTAAAAGCTGCAGTACTCTCCAAAGAGTCCTGCTGTCAGTCTTTGCCTCCCAGGCTAAGGAACTTTCAGCCTTCCCATTCCCATTCCCCCAAGTCCCCACCATCAAAATGGCGGGCATGTTCAACATCGTCCCCTGACCAAAGCATGTTTTATTCCATTGCTTGTGACCCATAGAACCAGTGGAAACTTAGGAGGGAAGTCTATTTTGGATGAGCCTAAACAGAGGCTTCTGCCACTGGACAGAAACAGTGCCAACTCAAGATTATATGTTGAGAGCAATTGAGATCCTCTAACCCATTGAGCACAAGATCTGTATTACTTGTGTATGGCAGGGAAATGCAATAGAAAAGTAGGCTCTTGTATCATAAGAATTCATTGAAATTTTCCCTACTGGATATCATGAAACAGACAGGTTTCACTCTGAAATTCCTATTTGAGGAGTTCAGTGGGCACTATAGCATTTCCTTGTCTTAATGTTCTTTTTTAGTTCGAGTTTACATTCAGTATTACGTTGTATTAGTTTCAGGTGTAGGGCATTTCTTTTTTCCAAAAAAATATGTTTTTATTGATTTTAGAGAGGAGGGAGGAAGGGAAGGAGGGAGAGAGGAAGGAAGGAAGAGAGAGAGAGAGAGAGAGAGAGAGAGAGAGAGAGAGAGAGAGAGAGAGAGAGAGAGAGAGAGAGAAACATCAGTGATGAGAAAGAATCATTGATCGGCCGCCTCCTGGACACCCCACTGGGGATTGAGCCTGCAACCAGACATGTGACCTTGGCCAGAATCAAACCCAGGACCCTTCAGTCTGCAGGCAGTCGCTCTATTCACTGAACAAACCAACTAGGGCTAGAGTGTTTCTTTTAACTTTTTCTACATTGTGGCAAATTCTTTGGGCTCTTCAGTACATGGCATACTTAAGGGCTTAGTAAGTATTTGTTGACCAACACTAGGATCTTTCTGAGTTTTAAGGAATTTTTGTGTTTATGGCTCATAAGTAAAGCATTTTTAAAAACTTATTTTTTTAGAGAGAGGGAAAGAGAGAGAAACATATATGTGAGAGCATAACTTTGGCTGCCTCCTGCTTGCCTCCTACTAGAAATCGAACCAAAAACCCTATTGTGCACGGGCCGGCACCCAACCGAGCCACAACAGCCAGGGCAGGAAAGCATTTTTTAAATACAGTTTAACCATATCCCTTTATTCATTAGTTTAAATTAGCAGGTATTAGTCACAATGATTAGTTCAATTCCTTTGGGTGCAATATTTAGCAAACAAAATCACAACTCTTTTATTTACTGCTTCTTGAAAAAAGGGTAAGGGGTGAGTTTAGGTTCTCCACTCTCACTCATGCACTTATAGCTCTTCTCTCAGATCCCAGCGTCATTCTGACTATTTTCCCTCTACTTCTCTCCCGCTACAGCACTGAAAATGCGCTGGGGCATTTTGAGCATTTCACAGGTGTAAATTGTTTTTATTGAGGTGAAAGTCACATAACAGAATTAACCATTTTAACATATACAATTCAGTGGCATCTAGTACATTCACAGTATTTCAATCCTGTGCTTTCGGATAAGCATGCTATTGGGAAGTCAAGCTTAAAAAAAACGACAGTGTTCTACAATTACTACCTCTTAGCAAGTTCCAGAATATTTTCATCACCCCATACCCATGAGCAGCCACTCTACATTGCTGCCTTGCCCCGGTCCCTGGCAACCACCAGCCTACTTTTGATCTCTATGGGTTTGCCAGTTGTGAACATTGATACTTACCTATCCCTTGCTGTGGGGTTTATAAATGAGAAGTCTAACCAGCAACCCTAAGTGAAGAGGAGAAACAGTGAGGGGGTCTGTGAGAAAGCTCATGAATATTTTCCATGCCATCTGCTGGGAATATGGTGCAAGAAAATGAATACAAGGAGAATGAAAAGGAGCCAGACAAAAACTCCTTTTTTCATGTTTATTTTAGAGAGAGGCTAGTAATTGATTAAACTAATCCAATATCTGGAAACATTCTTTTTTTAATCTTTACTTTGCCTTTTATGCAGTTTGAAATTTTGGAGACTCCTCTTTGAAGTGGAGCAGGGTCGAGTCTGAAAGGAACAAACAGTTTCCCAGACAGATGTGTGAAGAAATGCCTACAGCTACGTGCTTCTCGCTGGGGTCACATGTGATAGGGCCTGGCTGTTAAATACGCAGCAACATGAAATATGAATATTTTTTCTCCTCCATAGGGAATGTCCTCCCTCAACAGTAACGAGGAATGGAGAAGCCATTTCCGGTTCCTTTGCCTTCTCTTTAGGCTCGAGTTCACTTGTATTGTGTCTCTGTGTTATGCTGGTTGCACGTATCTTTTTAAGGCTCACGTGTAAAAATAGCACTGTTTTTAAATTATTTCTTTCCTGTGATTTTTAAAAATCTTATGTAGGTAAAGCGAAAGCCATCTTAACATTTCTAAAAAGCTGTTTTGTTTAAATTACAGAGTCTCCATGGCAACTGCATCTTCCCAGGTTCTAATTCCTGAAATCAACCTTAATGATACATTTGACACCTTTGCCTTAGATTTTTCCCGAGAGAAGAAATTGCTAGAATGTCTGGATTACCTTACAGGTATTGTATTTGTGGGTTGTTATTGTTGTTTATATTGTGTATATTCAGTGATACCACACTTTGCCACCAGGCAAATCCCTAAAAACCAGGGATGTAGGCTTCTGATTTAGGAATGGAGTCTAAGAATTCCAGAAATAATTTCTGACACTCTTTTTTCTTTTTTCATTGAAAATGACATAGTCCGAGACTAATTGAGGATACAGGAAAATAGAGAATCTCCATCATTAAAAGCATACTTACACTATTCCCCTCGCTCTTGGAGCATGGATAAGGCAAATGATAGCTTAACAAGCTCACCAAAGAGTTATGTAGGGAAACGTGGCTATTTTACATTTCATGGCAGCCAGGCACCTGTCTCTTACAGTGCCTTGGCAGAGGAAAAAATGATCGCTAACTTGATAGCTAACATCACCTTGCCCCAGCTCTTTGTCTTCACAACCCTGTCTAATCTTTGTAACATCAAATGGGGGTAGAGCATTATAACCCTCACTTTGCAAACGATGGAGGTCATCCATCTTGCTGGAGGTCAGATAGCTAGGGAATAGCAGAAGCAGGTTTTGGCTTCGGTCTGTTCGGACTCCAAAGCCCTCTGCTCTTTCTGGTAAAAGACTAAATTTCATCTTGGCAAAGGTCACCATGACAGACATTCCCCAAATCACGGTTGACTTCCTCTTGCCATGTTTCAATCATGTGCTTTCTGATTAAGCATTGATATTGATTGGGAAGTCAAGCTTAAAAAAACCAAAGCAACAACAAGAAAAGAAAACCTCAGGCCACTTCTATTCCTAACCATGCTTCCAAATTTTTATTTGCTATTAACCTCTAAAGTGGGAGCTGAAAACACTCGCTGGGAGAACGTGGACTGTTTAGATGACCTTGTTTGTGTTAGCCGAAGCCACCCGTGCCTGTGGCTGCAGGAAGGCTCCGTGGATCCAGTGAAGCCAGATGTGCACTGAGCTCAGGCTGTACAGCCCCCTGGGGACCACATCCCTGACTCGGCGCAGCAGCAGCATCTCCACGCTGATGCCATGTGTGCATGTTTATGGGAAAGCGGAGCAGGAGAGAGGAAGCATTGTGTGGTGTTTGTTTTCGCAGTCTGCATAGAAAGCAAGGGGTTCTATTATATATTCAAGGAGCCTTATATCCGGAACATCAGTTTTTTCTTTGCAGGGACCCGAGGTGCTGTTTTTAGGCTTTCTGCGTTTACGAGGGAGGCAAGTCATCCCACAAACTTTGTCTCTTATGTCATTCTTCTTTCAAACCATGCTGTTCCTACTAAGGAAAGAAAACAGCTCACAAAGCATTTACCAGAAAGAGCCAAACTCAGTTTCAAGTATTTATGAATATAATGCTGTCCCTTTTTAACCTTTTATCTCTGTGATGCATCTCAACTAACACTTAATGCGATGATAAAAACACCTGTACTTTCCAGTATGATAGCTGCTAGCCAAATGGGGCTGTGGAGAACTTGCAATGTGGATAGTGAGTTTTTACTTTTATTTAATATTATTAAATTTACTTGAAATGTAAGAGCCATGTGTAGTTTGTGGCTAATGCATTAGTCCAGGTCTAGTTAAAATTCTCCTTTGTTTTTTATAGCATTTAGCAATGAGCGGAGTTGCAACAACAGAAAATCCAATTAACAGGGACTAGAGCCATCAAAGAGAGTTCATATCATGCACCAGGAGAACAGAGGCCTGTACTCTAAGGCTGGGCAGAGTTCAGTGATGACCTCGGACTCCACACTTTCTCTTTTCTGCTCTGCCACCTTCATTGTGTTGCTTTTGGCCCCATGATCTCAACGTGAGGACACCACCTCCAAGTATTATGCTCAAGTTATAGACAAAGAGAGAGGGGCAGAGGGGAAATGATGACAAAAACTCCCGTCAGCCAAGAGTGTCTTTGTTTATCAGGAGAACAGAAAGTTTTCTCAGAAAACTCATCTAGCAAATTCCAGCTTGTGTCTTGTGGGCCAGATCCATGTTGCAAGGTCATGTCCAAAGGCAGAAAATACTGGAAAAAATGTCTGGCTGAGCACATGGTCATTCTGCACAAAATCAGTGTTTTGTTGACAAGAGTATGTCCTCCCCATTTCCCAATAATTGTTTAATAGTATTTCAATGATGTCTGCCCATTCCAATCTCTATGCGAATGCCAAAGTACTGATTAAAGGGGAAATTGTGAAAGGAGTTTGCACTGACTAGTAACATGCACATCATATATCATCCCGATGGCTGTTTATGCCAAACTAAAGACCATATGGGGTACCTGCTATTATGCCTTCTTAGCTGTCAACCTCAAATACAAATTTGGCCCATTTCTAGACATAACATCAATTCTGGCCATAACATATGATGCTTGGTTGATATTGCCAAGTCCAAATAGTTTATCAGACATTTGTAAGCAGGAAATGAAGTGTTTGTGGAGTATTAGCCCACCATTCCTTGTGTCCTGTTTATGATAGAGGCAAGAGAATTCCAGTTCTGGTACCCATGCCATGAATATTGAAATTGGCAGCATGCTCCCGCTCTCATTTACAGTAAATTGGATATTGACTTCTCAGGACATAGCCATTGGGTTTCTAATCAAAACAGGGTTAGCCTGCCTGACCGTAAAAACAAGACTTTTTCCCCCTAGACATGCCTCTAAGTGTTATGTCAAGTTAATAACCCAGAGTGGGGACTTTTCCTCCCTGACGGCATCTACTGCCATGTGACTCACAGCTACTTGCCTATTTGGGACATAAGTTGTCTTTACATTTAATCATCTATTGCAATGCAGAAGGAACAAAATCTTTCCACGGTGATTGATGGAGAAATAATTCGATGAGCTATTTAGATTGTGGGAAAATAAGTATTTTCCATTGATCCATGCAGGCTGACCCCATGGTGACAGAGACCACAGACAATAAGCATGCTTTCTGATGCGGCTGGGCCTTCCCATGGATGCATCTTCTGAACGCTGTGCCTGAGTCATCCACATCCAAGTCACAGCACATGACATTAGCTCTTGCATGTGGCTATTTCAGGAGACACATGCATTAATACATATTCCAGAAAGAATGCTGTAAGAGCTCTGTAGAACCCTCTTATCTTAATGTATAACTTGATGCAGTGTCTGCCACATGTAGGGATTCAATGACAAATAGACAAAGCTGGGTGATGGACTTTATACAGCAGTCAGAAGAGTCACTTGTTTCCTATACTTGTCCCAGATGCGTCTTCAGGTGGCAAAGTCAAGACTACTAGAATAATCAGAGCTTTACGTTTATCCTTTTTATAAACTTTCCCCCCTCTTTGCGTTTGGTTGGGACTCATGAATCCCCATAAAAGTTTAGAGCTTAAAAGGACTCTGTAGTAGTGTAAACAACGTTTGCTACTAGTCTGTAGAATGCAGATATGTTTCTATTTTTGAAGCTAGGTTCTTTTTTGAATTTAAAATTTTCTTGAATTTGTTGGGGTGACATTGGTTAATAAAACCATACAGGTTTCAAGCGTACAACTCAATAAAACATCTGCACTCTGCATTGTGTGCTCACTACCCGAAGCCAAGTCCTTTTACATCTCTATCCCCTCTGCCCACTTCCACCTGTCCCCACCCCCTTTTCCTCTGGCAATCACTAACCTGATTGTCTGTGTCTGTGTGTCAGATATATATTTTTTAATCTTTTCACCTTTTTTCACCCACCACCCTTCCCCTCTGACAGAAGTCTGTCTGAAGTTAAGTTCTGGTGTACAAAGAGTGGAGATAAAGGCCTGGACTGATTCTCTAAACCAGGGGTCAACAAACTTTGACTGCAAAGGGCCAGATGGTAAATATTTCAGGCTGTACAGGACATATGGTTACAACTACTCAACCCTGCTGTTGCATAAAAGCAGCCATAGACAATACATAAATTAATGAGCCTGGCTATGTTCCAATAAAACTTTATTTACAAAACAGGCAGTGGGCCAGATTTGGCCCAAAGCCATCGTTTGCCAACCCCTGATGTCAAATATTATTGCCCATGCAAAGCACTAACTGCCTAGTCTTTTTCTATTTCTTTCCCACAAACTCTTCTCATAAAACCAGTTACTGAAATCCATCCAGTAGAAGTCAACTTAAAATCATTATTTTGGTAGGATTTAGCCTTCTCTGCTGCAGAATGTGTTTAAGACATAAAACAGCAGCCTTCTCCAGTGTTAAAGTTAACCAAATGCCAAAGAATCATGTTTTCCTTGGGGAAAGAAAATGTACTTCTTAGATATGATGGATTGCTAATCTTGTTCTTAATGTGAAAGATCACCTATAAATGAGAAGAAAATAGGGCCACATTAATACATTTTTTATAAGGCATCAAAAACATCTAGTGGAAGAAAAATTTGAAACTATTTGGCTTACCTGTTATGGGATAACAAACTCCAGTATTTTTCCATTTGGATACAATTTTAAATATAAAAATGTATTATGCAATTGTACACTTGAAACCTATATAATTTTATTAACCAACTAGAGACCTGGTGCACAGATTAGTGCACTGATGGGGTCTCGGCCTAGAATGCAGGGGTTGGGCCAAAACCAGCAGTCCAACATCCCCCCTAGGGGTCCTGGAGTACGAGAGGGCATTCTGCAAAGTTGCTGTCACTTGGCAGCTCCTGCACTGAGCATCTTCTCCCTGGTGGTCATTGCATGTCATAGCTACCGGCCAGTCGGTTGGTCACTTAAGCTTTTATATATATAGATGTAACCCTAATACATTCAATAAAAATTTAAAATAATATACAAATAATAGTAGAGTTAGTAGATACCCTTTCCACACCAGACATAATATTTACTTTTCTTAAAAAAAAATTAAGTTGATTGGGGTGACATAATATGTACTTTTGAACTGAGTTTAATCTACTTTATCAAGTTAGGGGATTCTTTCATTTAGGTTTTATTACAATGTTTAAAAAATACATGGCATTATGTAGCTCAGAGGTTGGCAAACTTTGGCTCACAGGCCAAATCTGGTCCTCACTTGTATATTTTTTTGTTTCTTTTTTTTTCCTTTCTTTTTCCCCCTCAATTGTTTTGTAAATGATGCTTGACTAGAACATATCCATGTCCATTTGAGTACAAATTGTCTGGCTGCTTTCATGATGCTAAGGCAGAGTTAAGTCATTGCAACAGAACCCACAAAGCCTAAAATATTTACCATCTAACCCTTTACCAAAAAAGTTTACCATCCCTCTAATATAGATGAAATATCAAAATTTTATCTTCTTTACTTTTTGTTTAATATGTTTTCCTTCATGGACAAGAGTGTATTGTTTGTTTAACCTCTAAACATGTTTTCAGGATAAATATCCATGCTGGCAAGTTGAAGTCATACTACCCATTGAAAATCACACTGATAACAGACCAGCCAAATGTTGTTTGAGTTGGTGTCACCATCTCTAGGACAGTAGTCCTGAGGGACCTATTTAGAAAAGCCTGCTTTGACTATCATACATCTCTGAAATGTATCCCAGAGTTGAATGCTTCTCCATTGATGAACATTCTTGATGCCCACAGCTCCCAACCCTCCCACAATTAGAGAAGAGCTCTGCACGGCTTCCTATGACACCATCACTGTTCACTGGACCTCCGATGATGAATTCAGTGTGGTTTCCTATGAGCTCCAGTACACCATATTCACTGGACAAGCCAACGTTGTCAGTGAGTATCACACACCCCAGTGATTTCTCTGTCTGGTAACTGTTTTCTGATAAATTCTATTTCTTAATTTAAACGTCAAGGGAAGATAAGAAAAGAAAGAATGCACAATATTTATTGGCTTGTTTTTCCTAACCAAGAAAATGGTAGTAATAACTTGTATAATAATAGTAAAAATAACTGGCCAAATAGCGATGAAAATTTATGATCTCTAGCAAACTACATGGAGGAATCTTATAAACATATTGTTAAGAGAAAGAAGTGGGAAAGGAAATAATATACAGTATGCAGTATGATTCTATTTATACATCCATAACAAACTATTTTGTTTAGAGATGCATACATAGGTGTAAAAACTATAAACAAATGTCAGGATGGTTACCTTTGGTATAGGAGGGGAGTGGCACCATTAGGAAGAAATATATGGGGATTAGCACTTTCTGGCTATATTATGGTTATTTCATGGTTATATCATACATTTAATTGTATGTACTTTTCTGAGTGTTATTTCACAATTTTTAAAAAAGGATTTAATAAAATGAAGAGCCAAAGAACACCAGATACCTGATTCCATTTGGAGAACAGGGCCATCGTTTGAAATGTCGGTGATTGGCCCCCCACCTGGGAAGAATTTCAGACCTTATTTGAAACACAGAGAGACTCCTCTCTCACTAGGGCCCATGAGCTATGTGATATCAGGGATAATTCAATGAGCTAACATAGCAGTAGCTGGCCAGAGAGATGATAATCGAGGAAACACTCCTCCCCACCCACTGTTACTTAAATTGACTTGAGTAAATAGCAAAGGACCAGAAGAATTTATTTTTCAGGGGAGCAAGTTTGAAACTTCTTTAGCAACTTAAAATAGAAATATATCAAAGCAGAATCAAATAGAAGTAACTTTTTAACAAAGAAATGTTTTGAATAAATCCACATCAACTTAATGTGCTCTTATTGTATAAGCCTATTCTCTCTTCACTACACTCTTCTTTCCTAGCATAATAAATCTGAGGCATGTGATGCTTAAAATAGAAATTTGATTTAGGATTAGAAAGAGAGATGCCAAAAGATCCCGCTTCTAAATGACTAAAGTATAAATGGCCCATACCAACAAGTGGTTCCCCCTGTCTTCCTCATATCCCTCTTTTCCAGCTTTCTTTCCTTAACCTTCTGCCCTTCACTCCCTAATTGGCTTGCCTTAGGAGCTTTTATGAAAATCTTACCAGAGATTGTATCACACATTCACTTAAAAAAATGATGAAATTTGAAAGATGTTCAGAAATTCCAAGACAATCAGAAAAGTACAGCATGAAGGTCTGAGAAGAGCAGATAGAAAATGGAGGGGCCTTAGTTGGTTTTGCTCAGTGGATAGAGCATCAGCCTGAGGACTGAAGGGTCCTGGGGTTAATTCTGGTCAAGGGCACATATCTCAGTTGCAGCCTCCTGGCCCTGATCCTGGGCATGCAGGAGGAAATGAATTGTGTCTCTCACATCGGTGTTTCTCTCTGTCTCTCCCTCTCCCTTCCACTCTCCCTAAAAACCAATGGAAAAAAATATCTCATGTGAGGATTTTAAAAAAGAAGAAATAAAGAAAGTGGAGGGATGATTTGTTGCAAAAAGTGAACTGGAATCATAAATATTGTGTCAAAAATACAGAAAAGGTTCTCTGAAAGTACACTGAGGATTGCTAGAAACACCATTTGTTGATGAGTGAATAATGCAACCAGAAAAAGAAACATTTGGAGTCATGTTGTACCTAAAGGATGCTTCTTAGCCCACTAAGTAATGTTCTAGTTCTCTAAATTTGTTTTTGCTTGATCCAGGAAAAATTACATCAGTTTTCTATTGCTGTGTAAGAAATTTTCCAAAACTTAGTTTAAAATAACACCCATTTATTATTTCAGTTTCCATGGGTCGGGATTCTGGGCACAGTTTACCGGGGTCCATAAAGCTGAAAGCAAGCTGTTGGCTGGGCCGCATTGTCATTTGGAGGTCCATTTACAGAAGAATTCACTTCCTAGCTCCCTCAGGTTGCTGTCAGAATTTATGTCGTTGTTGTGGAATTTATGGAAGTTTGCTTCTTCTAAAGCCGAGAGTTGGGATGGGGGGAGAGACAGCGAGAGCTTTGCTACTTCAACTCTCTCACCTCTAAACCCTTCTTTAAAGAGCTTGATTGATTAGCTTAGACCTGCCCTGAACATTCTCCCTTTTGATTAACTCAGAGTCAACTGATTACATCTGCAAACTCCTTTCACTTTGGCCATATAATGTAATATTACTGGAATGATAGATAAGACATTTGTCCTTTGCCATATCTGTTGATTAGAAGCAGGTCATAGGTCATGCCTACCCTCAAGGAGAGGATTATACAAAGTCATGAATAGTATAGAGTGGGAATTATGAAGGCCACACAAGGGCATGTCCACCATAGGTGGTTATGTCTCTCCTGAAATTTCTTGGATCAAATTACCATGGGCATTTATACAGTACGTATAGCCTTGACCTGGACTGGCGGGCCTTGTATCAGTTGGTTTTCGCTCAGTAGTCCAAACCACAGAACCTAAATAGAGTAGAACAATTAATGTTTATTGCTTGTGCATCTGGAATCCACTGGGGGCAGCTAAGAGATCCTGCTATTCTTGGTTAGGTTCCCTCGCATGTCAGGCTGATAACTGAAGCAACTCGACTGCTAATCAGCTCTCTTCTACAATTGAGTTCAAACATGTTCTCCTGGTGACTGCAGAGGTGAAGGTGTAAGGGCAGGCCCAATTACACACGCGTTTTCCAAGCCCCTGTCTTTGACATGCCATTGTCCAAGCAAATCCCATGGATGAGCCCCAACGAAAGGAATATATCTATTGCTTGAAACTAAGTTTCTTAGGTGGCTAAATGTGACGAACTTGACCTCCATGCCGTTGGCATGGGAAATAATACCAAACAAGACATATAAATGAAATAGGTAAGAAAGGGCTGTGCGTACAGAAATCCAACAACAGCAACATTACTGAGCATAATGAACTCATTATGAGTTTTATGCTGGGTGATTTTAGATAAGGTGTTTATCCCTGGAAACCAGTTACCATAAGAAAGTAAATGCAAATGGCTTAATGAAGATTAGGGACCTGCCTTATTTACCCACAGTGCCAGAAAGGCCCGTTCTCCCAGGGCAGATGGAAAACAGTGAAAGTTCCGGTGCTCATCTAATTGGGGTGCTCTCATCAGCTTGTTGGTATTGGGACTTATTCATCTCTTTAATGCACATTAAACCAATGCAGTGATGGTCTTGATGACAACAGGATCAAACTGTTAAAAAAAAAAAAAAAAAAGAATTTAAGTAAGAGGATAACTGAGAATCAAGCATTTTCAGATTACTTTCCTCTTTTTTTAAAAAATTTCTTTATTGATTAAGGTATTACATATGTGTCCTTATCTCCGGCATTGTTCCCCCAACCCCCCGACTCAAGCTCTCACCCCCCTGTTGTCTGTGTCCATTGGTTAGGCTTCTATGCATGCATACAAGTCCTTTGGTTGATCTCTCCCCCTTACCATTTTCTTCTTTAATACTATACATATTTGTAGAGACTGAGGGAGACCTGGATGTGAATTCCAACTTTGGACCTCACTAGCTCTATAATTTGGGGCAAATAATTTAACATCCTCTGAATGTTTTCTCATCTGTAAGAAGAGGTAATGTCTAACCTCATATGGTTGAGATAATTAAAAATAAAGGCCTTAGCTCTGTTTGCTGCAATGGTATCACATAGATATTCAAAGTTACTATTCCTACAAAAATACAGACTATATTCATCTATTATTGCATTTTTAAAGGCTAATATTTCTATGATATGATAAAGGTTAATAATGTAATTTGCCGGGATTATCTACATGATAGCATTTTACATGGTCTTCATGTGAAAGGCCTTCCTTGAATGTTGCTTTCCCATCTGCCCTATCATTTGGAGGAATATCCTTCGCAGATCTTATATAGAATGGCAAGATGTAATGTTAAACATCTGCTCCTTATGCCACTAGGAAATTTTATACTGTCTCTAGTTCGTGAATCCTTCACTTGTCAGAATAAATTCTAGTTAATCCTCCAACTGACTTTAATGAAGGATAATTATATGATATCTATGGGGCTTTTAATCTTCTAGAAAGATCCCCATTAATCAAATTCATACATTCAAATGCAAAATTAATGACATTACTAATGTCTTACTTTTCATTTTTATCAACACTCATGATTACAAGTGTTAATGAATTTATTAACAAATAGATATGTATTTATTTTTACAGTGTTGCCCATGTTGTTTATCTAAAACTACTTTGAATGCATCATTTAGAATATGAAATTGGTGCCTTTTACCAGCAGCCTATTTTTATTATTAGCAAAAGTCAAGAGATTCATTTCTTCAATATTTTATGGCAAGTTAGTTATCTGTCTTTAATTTATTTTAGTCATTTTGAAAACAGTCATGAAAGTTATTAAACAGATACTATTTTTATAGAGAAAGAGGAAAAGAATGTTCACTGCTGTCCAGTCTGTCAGACAAAGGATGTTAGAAGCTAGTGTGTGTCCTCTCTGAAGGGTGTGCATATTGCATAATGTCTTACATATAATGTTTTATGGCAAGATGACAGTGTTATACAAGGCTATGAAATCCCCAGTGTAAGTAATGAGCAGAAGTATGGACATGCTTCTGACCCATTGTGAATGAGAAAAAAATGTACCAAATTGAAAAACTCCATTACATTTTATTATGGTTTAATTATCTTCCACGTCCCATTGTTTTAATACTTCTAGTGGAACTGGAAAAGGTGAATATTGGAATACCCTGGAAGATGATTGAAAGTGAATTTGGAGCAAAGTGACGTTTCAGTCGGGATGGTTAGTGGGTGTTTCATAAAGAGATGACTAAAACCTGATCCATAGACCTGACACAGTGGGGTATCGAGGCAGAGCAGTCTGGCGCTTGGCACCATGTGCAGGAAGTTAAGTGGTGCTGGCGCAAGACCAATGCTAGCAACGCAATAACGGTACGCTCCGAGACATCCCACTTATTCCATCCCCCACATGAAAGCGGTCAATGTTGCTTTCTTGGCATTTTTAATCAACTTCTCAATTATTACCTTGGCAATAGTTATAACATAAAAGTAAACCTAAACAGTAATAGTTGTGAGTATTCATGAAACTCCATTGTCCCAGTGTAAAGCTATGCAATGAAATGTTACTACTTCATAAACGTTTTGTTCTTTTAATATTCAAGGAAAAAAATCAGTGACCTCTTCAAAGTAATGAGGGACAGTCAGGGTCCCCGTTTTTTGGTTGGGAAAAGGTTGGTGCGGCATTACATCTCTTTTTGTTGGGTTCAGACTTTGGATTGTAGGCCAAGTTGCAATTTGCAGCATTTCCAGACATCTGCTTTATGATGTTGCTGAAAGCAGTCCCCTACCACATTAAACCCAGCTTTGGGTTGTACAGCTATGTAAAGTTTATTGAAACATTTTTACATTTGCCTTCTTTGACCACAATAGTCATTTTACTGTAACATATGCAATTAAACAGAAACAGTGTAAATGCAGTGGCATTGGTAGGATTCTCCTTGATTGGACTGGATGCTGTTATTGTTTTCATTTGGGCCTGAGTGCTGTTGACAAAGGTTTAGAATAGGAGTGGATAATCCTAGGCAATAGAAAAGCTCGTCGCTTTATCTTATTGCTATTGTAATATTATTATTAAATATCTAAAGTGAGGTACAGGTTTCTTGGGGCCCAGAGCTCATAGTTCAAAATGACCCTTCTTTGCTTGGATCAAAATCTACTATTTGGCTGTGGCACTATCCAGAAGTATTGAGCTTATTACAGCTATATTGGAGGAAAAGGTAAGGTGAGAAGTTAGCAAAAATGATATGTGGTAAGGAAAGTCTCATGTTACCAAACTATTTGTGGACGTTTTCCTGGGTCTTGCACAAGTAAAAATTTTTGGGAAAACAGAGAGCTAAGAGTTGGGGAATTAGGGGATAGGGGTAAGGTGTGGATGATGCCTTAGCTGCCCTGCTATCTCTCCAAACATGAACACACACACACACACACACACACACACACACACACACAACCTCTTCTCCGAATTGCACATTCTTTCCTTGCTTCATGCTGGCTTTGTCAAATCTGGCAGACCTCCTGGTGAAAATGTTCCCGGTGGAAATGCAAAGAGGTGATAGAAAGTTCACAAAGCTAATTATAAAATGTGTCTGAAAATATGGTGCACCCAAGATACAACTCACATGAGGGGAATTTTCACAATTGACAAATACTTTTATATTCTTCTCAACTATGAGACTACCAGAGCCATGTTTAACTCCAAAGTTGGAGAAAGTATTTAGTAGGACTTAAAGACAGACTTCTCGGGATGTGAATACCTTGAAATGCAATGTAAATATTTGGGGGTTGATATGGATATGCTTGCGTGAATTTCTACCGGAATGTTGTATTAGATACTCAAAGAGGCGAGACCAAAGAGAGATTAAGGGACTGCTTCTTGAGAGTATGGTAAGGTATAAGTTGCCTCAAGATGAAAAGAACTAACCCTTTGACTTACAAACCCACTGAAAGGGAAGGATGGAGAGGTGAGTTCAGAGCCCCTCAGGAAGTGGAGGGACCAGGCCCTCTACCAAAAACTGGTGAAGGAAACACCAGAATTAGGAAACTTCATGACAGCCCAGTCATCAGGGAGCTGGGAAAGGTTCTATTAGAGCGGAGATTGATGGGTGGACAGGGGGAAAAGGAGAGTTGGACCCAATACCAAAGAGATGTTTTCAGCATCAGCCAGCTGCAAAACCAAATGGGCTTCCTTTTTCCTGCGCGTTCTTCCAAGCATCATAAATCCTCAGCCTGCTCCCCAACCCACATCCTGCAGAATGCAGCCAGCGCACAGCCCCCTCTACTCTGAAACCAGTCATTCTAGAGATACAGCTGGTCAGAATCCCTGTGGATGCTCTAAGTCCCACACTGGGCCCTGAGCTGCCCATTGGTGCCGCTGTTGCAGGGTGTCCTTAGGAACATATCTTGTGGAATCAGTTAACTGTAGCCACACTAATGCTGTGTCACAAACAACCGCGGGGATCACTGTCTTAGCTCCCTTATCAGAAGTTAGCTAGGATTGGCCAGTCTCTGCCGGCTTCCCTTCTGCATTGGCTGGGCAATAGAGCTGTTCTTGTGCCTCATTTGTTTTCTGGGGAATGTTCTCCCATGGCAATGGCAGAGGCACAGGAGGGCAACAGAAGCTCTCAAGGCCTGGTAATGCCTACTCTTACAACTGGCACTTTGATATTTCGGCCTCACCCTGTTGCTTAAAGCAAGTCACGTGGCCATCCAAAGTCAGGTGATAAGGGAATATAGCCTGTCTCTTTAGAGCAAGCATGTCAAACTCAATGGCTAACATGGGCCAAATAAGGTTTAAGTTTATGTGGGCCATAAAAAAACAAAAGCTTTAATTTTTATAGAAATGTAGATTTCAATAGAGACATGCTGAGTACAAAGAGCTGAAATAAATGAGTAATCATTAACATAAAATAGAACATTTTTAAAAATATATATATTTTATTGATTTTCCACAGAGAGGAAGGAACAGGGATAGAGAGCTAGAAATGTCGATGAGAGAGAAACATCGGCCAGCTGCCTCCTGCACACACCCTACCTGGGATGTGCCCACAACCAATGTACATGCCCTTGACCGGAATCGAACCTGGGACCTTTCAGTCTGCAGACTGATGGTCTACCACTGAGCCAAACCGGTTTCGGCTAAAATAGAACATTTGAATAAAAATTAATCTTTTTTCTTGAACATTAACTTAACAGACATTGAATAACTGCACAAATGAATAAGCATAATGTAAATAAACCTATTTTTCTTGCTCTCCAAAAGCACAATATTTCCTGTTGTGCACACCAAACAAGTCAGTCCAAGACTAATGACATGGCCATCAGCTGCTAAAATATTCACTGCTGGTGTTAGTGGAGAGAAATGGTGTGCCTGCACCTAAGGCGTTTAAGGGAAATGAAAGCAACACGATGATAGTCATCAGTCATTAGCAAACATTGTAGTTTATTATTAATAACTAGAGGCCTGCCATGAGATTCCTGTACTTGTTGGAGGGGGTCCTTCAGCTCGGCCTGTGCCCTCTTGCAGTCCAAGACCCCTCAGGGGATGTCCACCTGCTGGTTTAGGGACCAGGCCTAAGCTGGTAAGCAGGCATCCTTCTCACAGTCTGCGACTGTCACAGTCTGAGACCCCTTGTTCTTTACCACCCGTCTGCTGGGGAGGTGGGAGAGGCTCCGCCATTTCTGCTGGGCTCTCCAGCAGTGAGCCCAGCCTTTACACCTCTCCCCACCTTCCCCATGAGAGCACTGACCATCAGGGGGCAGCTCCTGCATTGAGTGTCTGCTCTCTGGTGGTCAGTACATGTCATAGCAACTGGTCGTTCTGTCGTTTGGTCAATTTGCATTTTATGCTTTTATTATATAGGATTATATATAACAGGATATGGTAAAAATTAAGTTATGAAATTTTTATTAAAATGTTTCTTGCATACTGTTATATTGTCTGGGCCACAAAAATAGTCATTGTGGGCTGCCAGTTTGACATGCTTGCTTTAGAGGAACCAACTGCCAAGTCACTTAGGTCTGGATCCTGGGTGGGGTGATGAATTAGAGATAAAAATGCAATCTACTACATCTGCAGAAATAAAGTCAACTTCTCATACAGCAAGGTCTCTTCTCACCTTCCGTGAATCTCAGAATTGATGAGATGTAAATATTTAATAGTCATCATAATAAAAATGGGGGCGAGGGTGGGTGGAGGAATTATATTGAACAGAATTTGCAATAGAATAACTTTAAGTGGTTCTCCCATTTAGAGAACACAATAAGAATGTACACTGAGTGGCCAGATTATTATGATCTCTGAATGCATAATAATGCATAAAAACCACTTAGTGTATTTCCTATATATAAAAGGCTAATATGCAAATTGTCCCCTTGACCTGACCAGGAGTTCGACCAGTAGGGCCAATCGCCCATGTCCCCTCCCCCTGGCCAGGCTGGCCAGATCCCACCAATGCATGAATTCATGCACCGGGCCTCTAATATATATATATATACTAAGTGGCCAGATTATTATGCATTCAGAGATCATAATAATCTGGCCACTCAGTGTATAATAACTAGAGGCCCAGTGCATGAAATTTGTGCACTGGAGGATTGTCCCTCAGCCTAGACTGCACCCTCTTCAATCTGGGATCCCTCTCACAATCCGGGACTGCTGGCTCCTAACCACTTGCCTGTCTGCCAGTCTGATCACCCCCTGACCACTCCCCTGACAGCCTGATTGACACCTATCTACTCCCTGCCAGCCTAGTCGCCCCCAACTGCCCTCCCCTGCTGGCCTGGTCACCCTAACTCCTCCCCTGCAGGCCAGGTCACCCCAACTGCCTTCCCCTGCTGGCCTGGTTGTCCCCAACTACCCCCCCCCGGCCAGCCATCTTGTGGTGACCATATTTGTCCACATAGGGATGGCCATCTTGTGCGAGGGTGTATTTGCATATCACCTCTTTATTATATAGGTTGACCTACTAGAGGCAAGACACTGAGCACTCAATATTGTTATCTCCCTAAGAAGTGACAAAGCACACCATTTATGGATCAAGTAAACTAAAATTATGCAAACGTTGCCCTGTGCTTGCACCAAAGAACTGCACTACATCTGGTTGACTTTGCAGGTCTGTGTAACTCAGCTGATAGTTGGATGATCGTGCCCAACATCAAGCAGAACCACTATACTGTGCATGGTCTGCAGAGCGGCACCAAGTATATCTTCATCGTCAAGGCCATCAACCAGGCGGGCAGCCGCAGCAGCGAGCCCGGGAAGTTGAAGACAAACAGTAAGTGCAGTGAGCTCTGCAGAGCTTTTGTCTCTCCTTCTCTGTCCCCCTTTCTTTTCTTTTCCTCTGTCTCAGGCATCACTCACAGCCTCAGAAGCAAATGGAGAGCCAGTGGAGACTAGTGCATTTTGCATCAGACACCTCTGGTTTCGAAAACTGACTCATACTCTTAAGGGCTGTGAGGCCATTAATCTCTCTGTGCTTCAGACTTTCTGTTTTTAAAATAAATAATCCTGGAGGGCTTCTTGTGAGAATTTGGGCATATATGTAGATATATTTAAGTCTGAGACATAGTTAGGGCTCTGACACAGTACATGACAGATGATATTGTTTTCTCTAACAGATTATCAAATTAATAACTCTTTCCTCAGGAACTTTTTATTTACTTCAGATACCTGCCTAGGTCTGTGGCTCTCAAAAATGATTCTGTTTCACTCTCCAGGTGGGGCATTTAGAAATGTCTGGAGACATTTTTGGTTGTCACAACCAAGGTGGATGATACCTACTGGCATCTAGTAGTTTGAGGCTAGGGAAGATAGGAACCATCCCACAATGCACAGGACAGCCCCGCAATAAAGAATGATCTGGTTTATACACATGTCTCATAATCCTGTCGTCTCTGTGTGTGTGTCTCTACTCACATGTGTTTTGTTTTATCCTCTTTTTTCTTTACATCTTTTTGATCTAGAAATATTATGTTATATGACATGGTATTTCTTTACGTAAGACCTCCCAAGAGAAAGCAAATTGGAGTCTGTCAGTATGGTGACATGTTAGAGGATTGCCAGCAGCCAGTGAACAGGAGCAATAACCATTTTTCAGGGGGACCCTCATTTAACCCATATCCTTGACTTCAGAAGTCAAATGACGTTATTTGACTCCTGATATTTGTGATTAAGACACATGCTTAACCATGAAGCTAATTTCTCCTCTCACTCTTTTCACTGACAAATGTTTTTAGAGATTAAGTAGGAAAAATATGAATAAAGACATGCACCAAGTTTAATTCTGTGGAATATATCATTGAGACATGTCATGACTGTGTTTTTAGTAAATAAACCATCCTTTTCCTCTTCCTCTTTTTGTTTTGTAAATTATTTCTAGGCCAACCATTTAAACTGGACCCCAAATCTGCACATCGAAAACTGAAGGTGTCTCATGATAACTTGACAGTAGAACGTGATGAGTCGTCATCCAAGAAGAGTCACACACCCGAACGCTTCACCAGCCAAGGGAGCTACGGCGTAGCTGGGAACGTGTTCATTGACAGTGGCCGGCACTACTGGGAAGTAGTCATAAGTGGAAGCACATGGTAGGCAATTATATCTATTATCTCCAATTATAAAAAGACACATTTCACTCTATACTTTGTCAGAGCATCAACCCATACCAGGGTCCATCTTGAAGAATTATATGTAGAAAACCTTGGTCAGCCATTGCTAGTCATGCTGCATAACAAACATACCAAAACTCAGTGGCTTCAAACAACAATCATTTATTATTGCTCATTAACACCCACATCTGTGGGTCAGCTGAGCAAGGCTAATCTCAGCGGAGCTTTGCTTTAAGCTGTAGATTGGATTTAGGGCTGTTCTATGTGTCTCTTCATCCTCTTTGGATGTGTGAGCTACCCAGGCCCTGGTCTTCTCCAGGAGCCCAAGAATACAAGCCCTACGATGCGAGCACACTTCAAGCCTTTGTTTGCATCATGTCCACTAACTTCTCATTGGCTAGTCACATGGCCAAGCCCAAAGCCAATGGTGCAGGAAGTATATTCCTCCCATGGAGGAAAGAAGAGAAATCATCTAATCTATTCAGCCAATAAGAAAAATAACTTGTTTTGTCTATCCATTTTTTATTTACGGCAAGAATGGCAACTAAGAAGATAGAGTTCTCATCCCTGGGGAGAGCTAGTATGCTTACATGGCTCTTTCATGCCTTAAAACATGGGTCAGCAGCTTATAGCTGTTTTTGTAAATAAAGGTTTATGGGAACAGAGTCACACCCATTCTTTCCCATCTTGTCTATAGCTGCCTTTGAGCCACATAGCGGAATTGAGCAATTAAGACAGAACACTATGGTCCACAAAGCTGAAATATTAACTCTCTGGCCCTGTATGGAAAGTTTGCCAGTAACTACTGTAAAACATTACTCTTCATTCTTTAAAAAAAACAAAACAAAACAAAAAAAACACGACTTTCTATTGTCTTGTACATTATGTGATTTTAGACTGGGCTAGTTGGTGCAAATGGCAGAGAGCTGAAGGCTGTGGGGAGGTGGTTATCATAGGTTGGGAATCTCTTCACAAAGTCTGGTAGATCCAGCCTCGGAACTTTAGCCTAAAAGGTCAGGGTGCAGTCTACGTAGGAACTAGTTTACCTGACCAAGATAACCTCAGAAAGCTGACTGTGCCTATTCCAGAGCCACAAACTTCACGCCTTACTCTTGCCAGCTGTCTCACGAATACCTGTTTGCTATTACACAAAAAGGGAGCCATTTTATTTTTATTTAACCAGTTCTCATCTAGCACAACTATGTGCCAGGCACTAACCTTAGCATTTTACAAATGTTGACTCATTTATTCTAACAACCCTACAAAGGTAGGTGCTAGTATCCTGTTTTACAGAGAGGGTGACAGAAGCACATACAGGTCACAAAGCTCATAGATAGCAGAGTTAGGAAGTCTGCAATCAGCATGCAAGCTCTTAACCAAGGGTCTGCAAACATTGCCTGGAAAGGGCTGGAGAGCCAATATTTCTGGTTTTGCAGACCAGGTGAGTTTTGTCACAATTATTCAACTCTACTTGTAGCGGAGAAGCAGCCATAGACCATATGTCCAGAAATGGGTGTGGCTGTGCACCAATAAAACTTCGCTTATAAAAAGAAGCAGATGGCCAGATTTGGCCTGTTGTAGTTTGCTGATCCCTGCTCTTAACCATCATGCTATATTTTCAAAACATTATAATTACTCTTTAGGGCTTACATTGGTGTGCTTAATGAGTAGTAGCTTAATCCTTGCTTTAGAAAAGGCTTAAAAGGGCACAACCTAATGATGATGAGTATTATAACAGTGCAATTTTGAGATAAAGATGCTAAAACATTTATTATAAAAAAAAGTTTTCAATTCAAATTTATGCAAATAATACATTGTGCCTAAGTGCCTTATAGCATTAGCACAAGTCAACTGACATCTAAGTGAAATCATAAGCTTAGGTGTCTCATTTCTCCCAACAGTGGTACCTACATTGGCTAACCAAGTAGATTTCTTCTGTTGTGAGCATCACAATTCTCTTTGCCCAGAACCTTTTCCTGTCCCAACATCCTGCTGGAGGATGGAAAACGAATCCTTCCGCCCCACTCAGCTCTGGTCCAGGCTGGCACTTACAGTTTTTAGCTACACTGGAGCAAGATAAAAGCCCAAGGAAAATACGATGAATTTTTGCAGGTGCAAAAGAGCAAACTTTACTACTTAATTAATGTGCTGTATTAATCTGGGATGGAAACCAGTGTCTAAATAATTACAAGCTCATTAATAATTACTTATGATAAATTATACCTGATTATTATGATCTCATTCCCATTGATGAATGGTACGGGAAATTCCACCAGACCACTTCAGTTATATAAACATAGATCAGCATTACCTTGAAAACACCCGCCAGATGTCAAAACCAACTCATGAGGGGGAGGAAATTTAAAATTAATTGCCACACTGGATTTTTGCAAACATGATTATGTCAATTTCAGAAAAATTCTCGTGTAGAACATGGTTGAACATTTCCTGGGAGGTTTTAGTGAGCAAGGGGTGACCCTTATAATCAAATTCCTGTGACACCTTGATTTGCAACAGCTAATGACACATATTTTCTCATGAAATATAGTCTTGACTTTACATTAACATGCATGTTGTGATCCATGCAATGGGGCATGTTAACATTGCTCTGAGAAACCCAATTTTTATACATTTTTAATTCTCCGAGTCTCACTGTGTAACTTAATGGAACATTACCTTCTGCCTGCTCCTTTCAAGTTCAGTAGAAATATGTGCATAGGTTTTCAGATTAATGATAATATAATGGTATTTTCCTTTGCTTAATGGACTGTACACATAGTTATTTTCTTACTCTCTGATGCTGTTCATGTGCACTTGATTTTGATGAAATGGTGTTAAGTAAACATGGGTTCACAGAAGTCAAGGGGAAGAGAGTGAGATCCTGGATTTTGCTGCTAACTTTAGCCTTCTGTTTTTCCCCATTTGCTGAATGAAGTCAGTCATATCTGCAGCAGCTATTTTATAGGGGGTTCCGTTAAGGTTCAAATGGGGAACAAAAGTCAAATTTCTTTAATAAAAAATAAAAATGGCGTGCAGCAGCAAGGAAACAATACAGACATATGTCTATTTTGTGATGCAGATATAGGTTCCAAATTATGTGGGGGGAAACATGGCAAGGGTGTCTACCAGCGCATAGAGGCCCTCCATGAGGAAAATACACGCAACTGCAAAACAAAAACATTTCAAAGTGTTTCAGTTAGGGCTCAACAAAAAGACAGAACTACCTTAGGTTCTCCACATGGATGAAGGGACCAGAGGCTTACCTGAAGCCCGCAAAGGGCCGGCAGCATGAGTCAGGGAGCCTGCTGTGCCCGTCTAGGAAGTCTTGAAATGCTAGGGGTGCAGGAAGGCTCCCCAAGCCCAGATGCAAGTGTGCCCGAGCTCATACAGAAGCTTCTGGAAGTCTTGCCTCTGCTATCTGGAAAAGAGTGCACCCCCCCCCCCCCGCTTAGGACCTTTGGATCTTATGCTAGGGACTTTCCATGGCAGACCCTGATCCAGATTCCTACTGAAAAGAAAATTCTGGAAAAGGTAGCCCTAGGATTCTTCCTATGATGTAGGGCAGGGTATATGAAAGGGAAGAGAAGGCTGAAGGGGAGGTAAACAGATTGGCACACTGAGATTAATGGATTATCAATTCCATTTCTCTTAAATCGATGATGGTGTGTTATAGTCTGTTTTAAACGTGCTACTCTTAAAGTGATTGTAATTTAGACCCAACATGTGATTTTTAAAAGAATGTAATTTTATCAAAGACCAGTGAAGTTTTTCTCTACATTGGGTATGGTACTTATGTCAACATCTAGTTAGACTAGTTTCTGCTATAACATATTAAAAGTTGAACTGAATCGTTCACTCTTTTTTTTTTTTAATGTTTTTATTGATTTTTTTTAGAGAGAGAAAGAAACATTGATTAGTTGCTTCCTGCACACACACGAACCAAGGATCAAACCTGCAACCTGGGCATGTACCCTGACCAGGAATCGATCCAGCAAACTTTTGGTGCAGGGGACAAAGTTCTAACCAACTGAGCCACACTGGCCAGGGCTGGATCATTCACTCTTTATTAGAAGGATGGTTTCACCTATCTTCATAACTGAAATACTACAAATATTACGGAGCCATACCTTTGTGGGGTAAAAAGATTAAGAAGCTTAGAAGATTGCCAAAAGAATTAACATTGTTTTGAGCAGTGAGAGAACATTTAGAATAATCAGGATATCCTCTGCTGAGACATTCACAATTTTCAGCATAGTAGGAAATATAAGCAGAAGGGCTCTTGGCAGTAATGAATTCCACAATTTCTGGTGAAGGAAAGCATTAGAGAATGTTGTTTAAGTTTGTGGCCTTTTGAGTCATCCTAGGTTTAAATTCTGAATCTGTTCTTTATTAACTAGAGGCCCAGTGCACAAAATTCATGCAAGGGCCTTGGCCCCAGCCCCTCTGCCACCTCTGCTGCGGGCCCTGCCTGCTGCAGCTTTGTCTGGAAGGACATTTTGTCTAATCAGCTTATTACGCTTTTATTATTATAGATGTGTCATTGGGCAAAACTAATTAACAGTTCCAGGCCAGGCTTTGGGATTTTACATGTATTTTTTTTAATATATGTTATTGAGTTTTTACAGAGGGGAAGAGAGAGGGATAGAAAGAAAGTTACAAACATCGATGAGAGAGAGACATCGACCAGCTGCCTTCTGCACACCCCCTATTGGAGATGTGCCCGCAACCAAGGTATATGCCCTTGACCAGAACCGAACCTGGGACCTTTCAGTCGGCAGACCAACGCTCTATCCACTGAGCCAAACCGGTTTCGGCTTTACATGTATTCTTGCCTTTACTCCTTAAAACAACCCTGAGTTGAAGACTGTCATGGTCCCTGTGTTATAGATGAGAAAAGTGAGGCTGAATGGTAACCAGGAACTGATGCCCATAGGTGAAAACCATCCTTCCTGCTTACCTTCTGCGAAGTGCACTTGAAGTTGTGGGAAGTGACAGGCGTGGCATCAGCTGAAAAATTCAATGTTCATTGCTTCTGCTGTCTCATTGCTACAGGTATGCCATTGGCCTTGCGTACAAATCGGCCCCGAAGCACGAGTGGATCGGGAAGAACTCTGCTTCCTGGGCACTGTGCCGCTGCCACAATAACTGGGTGGTGAGACACAACAGCAAGGAGATCCCCATCGACCCCTCACCTCACCTCCGGCGTGTGGGCATCCTGCTGGACTATGATAATGGCTCTGTCGCTTTCTACGATGCTTTGAACTCCGTCCACCTCTACACCTTCGATGTCACATTCTCGCAGCCTGTGTGCCCCACCTTCACTGTGTGGAACAAGTGTCTGACCATTATAACTGGGCTTCCCATCCCAGACCATCTGGACTGCACAGAGCAGCTGCCATGAGCACCTAGCCACATGGGGGTGCTTTCTGGGCAATAGAAAGGCTTGTGGCCACTATGTAGAGGGCAGAGCAAGCACAGGCTTCCAGAGTGTGGTTAAATCTCGCCAAAAAGTATCCAGAAATCAGCTAAGTTAGGTTTCCAAATGGGCTATTTCCAGCCTCCACCCACTTACTGTATTTTGTATCAAGTACAGTCTCTAATATGTTCTTCAAATTTCCTTTTGTATTTACAGGAAAATTTATAGATTATTTATAAAAGAAACATAACCAGGATTCCAAGTCTTTTTAGGAATTATTTGGTGTTGCACATGAAGAGGCCCATACATTTATCAGCTCTTTACAACCTTTATCTCATCACAGTCTATAACTGTACATAACAGAATATGCAACTACTTTAAACATAAAACATAGTTTTGAACCTAGTAGGGAAGTAAATGGGATTTCTATGTTGAGGTGTTTTAACTGTGATGGTGGAAGCTTTTATTAGGTCAACTACAATGGAGAGAGAAAGAGAGAATGGGAAGATCTTGGAATCTGCCACAGCAAAATCTTTGATTGCCTCCTGATGGCTGGTGGGATATTGATGGAAAGATTCTGGAACCTTCGGTCATAGTTTAGCCTGCTCTTCCCAGGATTAAGGATTCTGGGAGAACATTAATAATGATACTGCAATTGAAAATAGTCACTTGGAATCCTACTGATTATTCAGAAATTCAAGCTGATTCGTGTTCTATTGGAAGTAGGATTCTATTTCATGATATCAATCTATGTCATTCTTTTAATCATTTCTTTAAGCCTGTGAGATTTCTTCACTACATATAATAGCTGTCCTATCCTTCCCCACCCCCAAATCATTTTTCTTTGTCACTGGAGCTGAGGAAATAGTTTCTATCACAAATAGCACCACTGTGCACTGATTTTTCTCTCCAGGACATCGACACATGGCCCCACTTTCCACTTCCCCTGTCCAAATATAAGTCATCCCCCAAACACTATTTATGAGTTGATAATGACAAGGGACGTTGCATAAAGTACTATTTGCTAGTATACGTGCCTCAAACGTTACTATAAACTGACATTTATTAAACACATCTTGAAAGTTGTAGACATCCCTCTGTATATTCTAGTATAGTTTACCATAGAGTTGTAAGACAAAAAAAAAAAAATCAAATTTGCTATTCCCACACTGGAGCCTGCCAATAGAATCTGCTAAGGCGGGGCTCTTGGCATGCTGAACTGACACCTTGGAATGGTCCATGAATTAAGTTCCATTCATTGGACCTGGGATTTGGCAATGGTTCTTCCTTGGCAAAAGCATGACACCTATAAATCATTTCATTTGCTAAAATATTGATCCGGGCTCCTGAGTCGGCCATTTTGCCTGAACAGACTGGTGGATTTAGCATTGTCTGTAGTGATTCTGTTTTTAACCAAATCAAGCAATTGTCCCCCTGCACTCCATTCACAGACCCGCTGTTTCAGCGTCACATGATGTGATTTTGAGTCTGGACTTCACGGTGGCTTCCCTGTGCCTCTGTCCTCTTCACTGGCAGATGCTCTCCTTTTTCTTAACAGATAGAGTCTATATATTTACTATATTATTTATACCCAGATGAATATTTTGATAGTTACTTAGGACAATTTCACATCTAAAAGATGGACACCTCAATGGGGAAAAAAATCATTCTCTGGAAACTCAATATGATTTTTTTATAATATAAAATAATGTGTATGTGCTTTCCCAGAATAAACTGAGAGTGTTGTCTTAGTAATTTTTACATACTGTTTTTAGTAGTTTGGATAACATATTTTAATGCACTTTGTACATTAACAGGTTTTAAATAAAAGGGTGTAAAACTCACAGTCTCCAGGTACCAATAAATGCTACAGTTTGCCTTATGATGCTAATGTAAAGCATTTACCAGAAGGACAATATTTCCACAAACATGTTTTTCAATATAAAGCAGTTACTACTCAAATGTTCACTGCAAGCTGTTTCAGTGATGTTTTGACTATTTTTATAAGGACAAGGAATTATGTTATAATTTTGTTGTGGAACTCTGTTTGCTAACTTAAAAACATTGTGGGTAGTAGCAGTTACTACGTCCATGTTGTCATATTTACAAGAAAATATGTATATGGTGAAAGGCCACATTGTTTACTTTCATTGCTGTAATTATGTAGAAAAGATTTCCGTGTGGATTTTTTTTTTTTGAAAGTCTGAAAAATATATGCTATATACACTTGCCACAGTACAGTTCTTTGAATGGACTGGGGTCGGTCGTGGTGTTTGTTTTTGAAGTCCTTCAGAAGAAGCATCGTAATTAAAGGGAGAAAGAGATGGCCGTGCCACTTAAATGAAAACAACAAAATTGATGCAGTGCCAGCTGAGCCTCCTACGTCCAACATCATGCTTATGTGAACAGTGCTGTTGCCATCCTGAGATCCTTACTGCTTGTTAAACAAAAATCCGCGTTTTCATTTACACTGAGCCTCACAAATTACGACACAGCCAGTCCTCATTAAGAAAACAACACTCAGAAACAAATGAAGAAACCTGGTTCCAATGTCAAAATGGCTGGCAAGTAGGAATCCCAGTGGACTAAAACGAGAAAGGGCCTGAATGAAGATTCTCTCTCCAGCTTTTAAAGAAAAGGACTTCAAAAACTGGCTGCAAATATTAATGAGGTTTCTGCTGGAGAAGAGAAGGGCAGATGATCAACAGGCATTTGATTGTGGTATTGGCGTATGGACCCTAAATGTCCTGCGGAACCCAACGAGCACCCTCTAGTGAACGTGAAATGCCGTTTTGGCTCCAGGCATGTAGGCATTGATTGCAGAGACACATATATGCTCATGGACATGAGCTTTTGGTGTTGGGAAGTTGATCTATCTGGCCTATCCTTATAAAATGTTAAAGAGAATGTAAAGACAAGAATGGGGGAGGGAAGTTGTTTTCAAGAGTGCTTCTCCACAAGGAGATGATTTGTCAACGTCTGGAGCCATTTTTGGTTGTTCGAACTCGGGAGGGTTGCTACCAGCATCTGATCAGCAGAGACCAGGGATGTTCCTCAATATCCTACAATGCACAGCACAGCCCCCACCACAAAGAATCGTCTAGCCGAAAATACGAGGGGTGCCGCGCATGAGAAACTCTTGTTCTTTGGGGATTTGTTAGAGCAGAACTCACAAATATTTTCTACTTTTCGTATCACTGATTCAATTTCTGCTTTATCAAAAAGAGAAGAAAATGGCACACCAAAATCTTCACTGCAGTGGTGCCTTCACTTTCAAAATTATTTACAAAGTCCTCACAAAACCTGAAATTTGAAAAGCAGTCCGAGCTAGTGTAAATGGGAATCCACTGATGAGTGGAATGAAGATCCGGTGGTGGTTTGCTGAGTTTGTAAGTGGAAAGTCAGCTCTCTAGCCTGCTCCTTTCACCTGGACAGATTCAGTCCCTGGTACTAGAGTCCCACTGCCAAGCCCTCATTTGGCACAGACTTTTCTCACCATTGCTGTTGTTTTCTGGTTCAAAATAAAGTAATTTTGTGGTTCCAAGGTCCTCTTGTCTCTGCCTGTCTCTGTTGCCTTTTCTTCAGTTAGTGTTTCCACAGTCACCATGTCCACAAATATTTATCCAACTTCTGTGTTCTTTTTGTCCTACTTTGCAACATATAACTTGCTTTTCTTTGTTCTTGAAATTTGCTCACGTCTACCATCCCACTTCCCTTCAGTCAAAAAGACTAAAAACAGCACCCAGGGATTAAAAATAAATAAATAAAAGAGAACCTATATGGGAATTGAGACCTGGAGTGAGAATAGCTCGATTTTGAATCAGAGGGGGAATGGAGGGGGGTGGGGGGCGGGAGGCAAGGATGATATGAGCAGAGGAATGAGGGTCGGTATAGTGTGGTCTGGAACAATCCCAGCAGTTGGCCCATAAATCTCTCCTCAGCCCCATCCTCTGGCTCACAGGACTTTACTTTCTCTCTTATTAGAGACGCAGGCCCTTTTGATCTAAGTCGGTGCTGCGCAGTGTGGTCATGGGTCTGTGGCATTAGCACCTCCTGGGAGCTTGGTGGAAAAGCCAGTTCTGCAGCCCAACCCCAGATCTACTCATTAGAACCTCGGGGTGCGGGGCAGAACCCAGCAAGGTGAACTCTAACAAGCCCTCCAGGGGATTCTGATACCAGCAAATTTTTGAGAAGCACTGCTCTGGAGGGTTTTATCCAGTCTCCTATCCCCTATAAAAATGCACTTAGATCCTGAAATGTGTTTTCAAGGTAATGTGCTTTAGAAGCAGCCTGATGTAATGCAGTGGTGCTTAGCTGCCTGAGCATTAAAACCACTGTTTTTTGTTGTTGTTGTTTGTTTTTTACAAATGCTGATTCCTAGATCCCATCCTGAAAGATTGGGGGGAGAGCCTGGAGTGTGGCTTAGCACCCTGTACTATTGGGGGAAGTGATTCTAAAGTGCCGCCAGGATCGGCAGCCAATGCTGTGGTCACAGGGCTCAGCACCTGGGCGTATTTCAGGGTTTGAAGGCCACGCTATCTCTGTGGCAACTACTCAGCTCTCCAGCTGTAGAGTGAAAGCCACCACAGATGAAGAATATAAATGAATGGGCGAGGCTGTGTTCCAATGAAACTTTACAAACAGGCATGGAGCTGCATTTGGCTCATGCTGTACTTCACAAACTCCTGTTGCAGCAGATACAACACTGGACTGGCAGCCCTTAGCCCCCAGTATATGCTCTAACTTTCTCTTCACCCACTGTCCACTCAGCCATGTCCCCTCATAGCCTCGGTGAGCTCTCAAGTCCTTTCCAATTTGGAACCATATCAATTCTGAAAGCACAGAACTCATGTAGAATTAGAATACATAAGACAGGGCCACTAAGGGTTATTAGATGATTCTTTTATTAGAGTAAGGTGTTCCAGTTCTAATGGTTAGCTTTGCCACCTTCAGAATTTTGGCTTGAATCAACCCTCCTCATAAGT